ATATAATTCATGAATTCAGGTGGAGAAAAGCAAGGAATTCCAGGAATGGGAAAGGATTCTTTTCTCCCAACAGGGTTTTTTCCCACTTTCTATCCTTATATGTGATTCCCCACATCTGCCAAGGTGTCAAATGCACTAGACACACTCACAAAGACTTTACTATTAGGCATCACTCCGTGCCTATAGCACATGTGATGACTTGTCTATTATATTTAATACCAAGTCTACACATCAGATGTTACTGGAGTTTTATTTTATTCATTTCTTTGTGGTACTAAGGATTGAATCAAGGGACTTGTACATGTTAGGCAAGTACACAGCTGCTGATATCCTAATAATGAATTAATGGACACTTAGGGGTCATCAAAGTTAGCCATATTGGTCCTAACAAGTTTTACATAGACCACCAGTCTTTAGCCTCTGCACAATTTGTTCTTTGTCAGTTTTGTATACCCAGCCAACCTCTTTCTCTCCCTCAGAGGTTTATACTTTTTTAATCTTAAGGGGTTAAAGAGCGGCCAAAAACTAGATCATTTTTAAGGACTATGGATGCTTTATTTATCTCTGGACCTCCCTCAAAGAGAACCATAGAACAGGAATCTATGCCCATGATAATGACTAGATCTGCTGTCAGTCCCTACCTAACTATAAACACACCTATATATATATATATATATATATATATATATATATATATATATATGCTCTTCTTTTTCTAGAACAGCTTTGCAGCCTATCAGAAAATGGTTTGGTATAAATGCCGGCAAACTCACTGATTTTAAATGTATATTTTATATCCAAAAATATTCATTTAAAATGTATCATTCTATAACCATGAACTGATCCAAAGAGAAATCTGACCTAATAACTCTGTGATGATTGAATCGCTATTACTTTTATCAGTTTTTAAAACTGAAGACAGGGCTGGAGAGGTGGTTCGGTTGTTCAGAGCGCATATTACCCTTGCGGAAGATGAGTTCCACTTCCAGCACCCATGTCAAGCAGTTCAAAATCACATGTAACTTCATCTCCATAGACTCCAAGGCTCTGAACTCTGAGGGCTGTTCACCCATAACCATAAGCCAATACTCAGATACAAGTATGCATATAATTTAATTGTTTTAGTCTTGAAAAAGTATGTTGAAGATAGTCTGTGGATTGACAGTACCTGAGCCATGGCTCAAGTTAACTTACAACTTTTCAACTTTAGGATGGCAAAGAGTATTCAATAAAAACCATATTTTGAATTCTGAGGTTTGATCTCTCCCTGGACTAGCAACATCTGATGAGGTTTTCTAGACATACTGGGTGGTAGCATTGAGCCCAGGTTAGCCACTTGACTGTGGACATACCGGGTGGTAGCATTGAGCCCAGGTTAGCCACTTGACTGTGGAGGTAGACAACCAACACTCATCACCTTGCTATATTGCAGGTATTATCTGGACATTGTGTTTTACTTTCCATCCTGTGTATGCAACACACATCTCTCTGTGTATGAGCCTTAATTACAAAATAGACTTTGGGGTAGATGATTTTACATAGCTATAGACAAATGCAAATGTCCCTGGGGGCTACCTGATCATGCTTAAGATGGAGCAGGCCTAGCCATGATCCCATAGATTAGCCATATTAAGTGCATCTGAATCCAGTACATAAACCTATTGTAAGGTGAGATGTATCTGTAATTGGGAACCTCTGAGTCAACAGGGAGCTTCAACTGAGAGACCAGGAGTGCACAAATCATTCTGGTTTCTCCGTTGTGTCTCCCTAGAGCTGCCGCCCATCTCTTTTACGTTCCTTTATATCCATATGCTTTCTAATCAAAGATACATTTACTCCAGGCTTCAATCTCCAGATCCACCAACTTCCTGTCATGGAGTTCCAAGGTCCTGTGACTTGAGTGCACCTCTGAAAATTTTTATGTGTGCTTAATATGATAATGGAGATCCAATTCTTAAAACAAAAGGGTATTGGTAAGAAGTGACAAGTCTCAATTATGGTGGCAGTCGCTGTCCCTTGAGAAAAGAGGTTTCCAGAGCCTGTATGTGTGCATAAGTGTTGGTCACCTGTGATAACTGTATTAAATAACAAGTTTATAATTGCTTACACTATGGAGAGAAAAAAAGTCAAACCAGGTGCCTTGGCCCTGCCTCAACGAGATGATGGGACAGACTTAGTAGACTTCATAGGGGAGGCCTTACCCTCTCCAAGGAGCACATGGGAGGTGGGGAGGGACAGTGGGAGAGACAGAGGAGAGGAGGGAGGGGGAAACTGGAATTGTAATGTAAAAACTAAATTAATAAAAAAAAATAAAGGAAGACCATGTGGCTTCTTAAAGGATTTGCTTAGAGAAGCCAATTGGTGGAAATGGGAACAACTTAGAAATTTAGGATAAAAATATGGAGAAAAAAGAATTTGAATTTTTTTATGCTCTCAAGAATTCATTCTTCTTTTATGACTCTAAAATGCCTTACTTTTCCTTCACCTCAAGTTAAGGTTTTAAAAATTGCCAACGTGTAGGATTCTTGGAGTCTGTGAGATAATCCAGACAGCTACAACCAAATTGCCTTCATTGTACTAGACATAAATGTATTTTTATAACCACAATTAAAAGTTGAAGAATAGACACAATATTTAGGACATATTATATACAAGATGTGCTAACTACCTACTCTCTCCTCCATATAAAAAGACGTTATTTCTAGACCAAATCATATTACCTAAACAAGCACTATTGCTACTCCTACAGGAAGCCCATCATCAAATCATGCCAGCATAATGCCTACACATCCTGCCAGTGGTCCTCATCATAATGCATCAAAAAGCCTTATTATTTGTACAGTGAGGATAATATCAGCAACATTTGCTATCGGCCTCCACAGAGAACTTTTTAAGAGGCCTCTAGAAGAACCTCAGTCAAGGTTTGCTGTAAAAATACTAATATTTGTCCTTACATTAGAAGTGAGGCAGATACAGATTTACTGTTTAGCATCAAAGGAAGAAGGCAAGAAGGAATTCCTGCATCATTTGACATCGTGTTCATTGAGTATCTGCAGCATGTTATACACTCAATAAGATCTGGGCATACAATAAACAAAACAGGAAATAGTAGTGCCTCCCAGGCATGGAGGCTCCTGGAAAGGGAATGATGACACAAAATGAATGAGCCACATCTCCTTCAGAGCTCAGACTTGTGCATGTAAGTTTGAGTCCAGAGAAGGATGGGAGGTCCTGACAGGAGAAATTCACACTCAACGGAATCGGAGCACAAAGCAACACAGAGAGAGGGACCCTCAGGGTGTCCATTGCATGCCAGAAATGGTCTCCCCATGCCGCCTGACGCACCACAACAGCTCTCATGTACGAAGTGATGCAGAGCTGCTTGTAAGTCATTTCAGAGGCTCCTGGGGAAGCTGACCTGACTTTGGCTTCAAAAATCCAAATGGAGAAGATGCCAGGAAGAACAGAGCAAGTGATAGAATCATTTGATATGAAATCCTAGGGATTTAACTTATCATACTGAGCTGCGACTGTGACCCTACTGATTTATTTCAACTGCCACTTAGGTATGAATGGGAGAGGACCATGCCAGGGACTTCTCAAGGGAAGGGATATGCTGTAAACCCAAGGCACAGAATCAAATGTCTAAGAGGAATCCTGGAACAAAGTAGGCGGAGTTGAGAGCAAAGTTTTATTCCTAGTTTTTTTTTTTTCCTCCACAAGAGAAAATGACTTTTGAGGGTGGAAGACTCAAAGTAACTCAAGGAACTTGGTACTTCCTGGACGTAGTGTAATAAAGGAAATGGCCAACACTTACTGAAGGTTTACTGTGTGCCAAGAACTGTTTTCCATGGGTGAGCTACCAGCAGCTTCATGAGGTGGGCAGTATTGCCATTTTACAGCTAAAGAAACTGAGAGAGAGAGATACTGTGGCATTCCAGCCTTGACTTATTTTTGTAACGTGTTGATTATTCTGTGTTCCAACACAAGCCACTGAGTGGGTGAACCTCGGATTCCAAGCCTGGCATGGTATCCTTATTCGAGGAGTATCCTCCATGTGGCATGATCGTCCCTGCAGGCCAGCACCGTGACCTTGCCCTTCACTTAGTGGTCACAAGCTCTAGACACTGCCTTTGTGTTCCAGGAAGACTCGGTCCTGAAAATCACGCTCCTTAAACAACGGAGCTTGAAGAAATCACGTGACTGGTTAGTATGCAGTCTAGGCACATCAACGTCACCTTTTTTCTTTACTTATTAGATAAAGAGACTGAGTCCATTGGTGACAGGGAAGTAAAAGGGTTGGCTCCTACACAGTCAGTTCTGTCTGAACCTCTGGCAAAGATTCTATTTTACTGAGGAACGGTAACTATCTCAGGTTCCTCTTACTCTTTTTTTTAATTGAATCTTTATTTTATGTGTAGAAATGCTTGTCTTCATGTGTGCAAGTGTACCACACGCATGCCTGGTACCTGCAGAGGTCGGAAGACAGTACTGGACACCCTTGAACTCGAGTTACAGGTGGCTGAGAGCCGCCATGCGTGTGCTGAGAACAAAACTCCACCTCTGGTCCTTTGTGAGTGCTCTTAACCACTGAGCCACCTCTCTAGCCCACTCTTACTCTTTGAATTGTCTTGGAAGTTTCCATAGAAACCTGTAATAATACATGGGGCTGTCAGCAGATTCTGTACCTCCACCCTGGCTTCTTGTCATCGTGCAAACTGTCATTGGCTTTAATTAGGTTTAATGCGAAAAAGGGCACCAAGGGAAATGGTGAGCAGAGACTGAACAGTGCGGGCTTACTCTCACATGCCCAGCAAGGCGTCATCGCCAGACTGGGAGAAAGAATACCACGAGTATGGAAAGACCGCACCGCTGCTACTGCTGCTGCTGTCCAAATGGGAAACGTGGGTGGAGAAAAGTCATTGCAAGAGGGCGAGTGGAAAGAGAAAATGATCCCAAATTCCCAACAGCTGCACATAAGAAATAAGTGAATCTGTTACCTTGGATGAACTCTGATTTCCTGCTCACGGATGGCAGGGTCCTGTTGAGACCCAGAATCCTGTCCAGGTGGAAGGCAAACACTTCACTCATGTCCAGGGGCTGCTTGAGTAGCCCACAGGGACTAGGCCCACAGCCAGGCACAGAGCCTGAGGTGCTCCCTTCGAACACCAGCAAGCGGGCACCACTGTTAGAGACCGCTGGCAGGATGTTAGCCACCTCACTATCAGCCAGCAGGCGCATTCTGCGAATGTCTTCTTTGCTCAGCCATGAGGGGGCGCTCTCACTGTAAATCCGGATGTTGCTCTCTCGCACCCTAGGCTGCTGCAAGTTTGAACCACCAGTTCTGATTCCAGGACCACGCGGCACCCTCCAGGGGCGTTCCCCAACCTTAGCCAGGTAGCCCTGAGCATAGCCAGGTACTTCAGCATCTGCTGCCCGCGCAACTCCCTGCAGTATAAAAGACGGTTTAACCAGCTCGTCCTGTCCAGGGGCCACGGATGCCACTGCGTACTTCTTCCTGCGCTTGGGTTTCACCGTGCCACGGATATTGGCAGGCTTGCTGCGCTTGGAGCGTAGGGTAATGTACACCACGTTGGGCTGCAGTGTGCTGCCATTGTCCTGCGACTCTGGAGGGGCCAGGGTACCATCCAGGGGGATCTCCGGGAAGAGTACCTTGGAGATGTCGTGGCTGTGGGGTGGCCCCCTGTCAGTGGTCTGCCCACGCTGGAAGGAGGCCCTGCCAACCTGGCTCACCAGGAAGCCCAGGTAGATGGCACAGGCAGTGCCCAGCAGCAGGTTCCGTCTGGTCCTGGGACGTCGGCTGCTCCAGAGCTTACACACTCGAGGGACGCACAGGGAGCAGACAAACCAGTTTAGGAGCTGCCCCGACTTGTCTGGACAGGTCATTTCTCTGCCGCTTCCACATGCTGAATGGAGTTTAAAGTCTGCCGCTCCTTTCTGGTGACATGATTCATGGCTTCCTGAATCCAGCCGTCCAGTCCGCTTCGATATCTGAGTGGTCTCCAATAGGCAGAGGGGAAAGAGAGGGGTCGCTGCTGGCGCTGGGAACGTTCGGGACACAGGGCACCACAAGCCTCTTAAACTCCTATCAGCCTTCCCCAGCAGAAAGGAAGGCTGACTCTGGGGATGAGTGGAAACGAAGTTGACTGAGTCACCGTCTCAACCCATTTAGGTTCCTCTGCAAGAGGAAAGAGGAGAGTAACCCTTTCCTTCCATAAACACTACCAAGTTTGGGGTCAAAGTGTAAACCGTGGAAACAAGACAGGTGTGTGTGTCTGATTTCACTTTAAAGTAATGAAAACAAGCCGCAAAGAGCACTTGGTGGCTCACGGTTAAAGTCACGCTACACCTGGCTGTGAAGCAGCGCGTAAAAACGGCATCAACCCGGGCTTCCCTGCACACCCCTTTGTGCGATCCAGAAGTAGCTCAAGACGAGTAATAAACACATTTAAATTTTTATAAGCACCCTAATTTTTTATAAGATATGTACTAACTACTTTGGCAAAAACAACTAGTGAGTTCACATTGAAACATACTCTTCTTTAAAAGAAATGCCCCAGATTGTCTCCACATCGTGTTCTAATACCTTACACTGGTATTTAACTGCCTTTACTGTCTGACTGTGCAGCTCTGGAAAAAGGAACATTTATTCTCTCTCTCTCTCTCTCTCTCTCTCTCTCTCTCTCTCTCTCTCTCTCTCTCTCTCTCTCTCTCTCTCTCATCTCTCTCTCTCTCTCTCTCACACACACACACACAAACACCACAAATGAGCAATTACTTTTTATTTCTTTTCTTTCCACTAAAGAGAGCAGAATGAAATAGAATCTCCACGTGTTTTTGTTTTGTTTTGTTTTCTCTCCACTTTTTTAAGTAGCATAGGAAACTGACTTAAAAGGAAAAAGACCAGTTTACTTACCCTGCTGGCCGCACACTCAGCTCCAGGATGAATGGAATCCCTGACCCCGATGCACAGAACTTGGAGAGGCTGCGGCAGGCATGTCAAGAGAACATATTTCATGGTCAGAAGAGTTCCACCTTTCAGGCAGCTCAGCTCAGTCATCAAAGCTTCTGCCTCCTGACAGCAAAACAATTTGTAAACCGGCTGCTGCACAGTTTTCAGGCACGGGAGGCTCTCTTTGAAAGATGACTAAAATAAATAAATAAATAAAATTTAATTTTGAATTCTCGAAACACAGCTCCGAGTCAGTTTTCATTCCAACAACTTTCTTCCTCTTTCAACCCCTGGGAGCCCCCTAGTGTCCCACTTGCTAACCAACACAGACATGTCAGCCTTGGGAGGCTGAAGTGATCTGAAGTGTTTGCCCAGGCTGGTGGAGACCCCCCTGCCAAATAAAGGCTTGGAGAATGAGGAGTGCCACTGACCCTTTGGAGTTGGGGACCAGACACCAGAGGACCAGGGCCTGCATCTTACCTTACATCTGGGCTGTTTGCAGACTAACAGCTGTCTCCCACTAATCCTGGAAAGAATCCACCAAGAAGTAGAGAAGAAGCTAAGGAGGGGTTACTGGGAATGAGGAGGGAAATGGAAGTGTGAGATTAGAGACACGGGAAGACACTAGTGGTGAGCAGCAGATGCACCCGGAAATAGCGCTTAGAAGGCAGCCTAGGTTCCTTCTGGTTGGAGGTCTTTTAAAAACAGGTTAGTGATTGGCCAGGGTTATTTGCATGTCCTGGCACAAAGGCAGGAGCAGACCACCTTGGGGACTCACTGGGCTTTTTTTTTCTTTGCTTCTGCGGCCCATGGAGTCAAACAAGAAGCCACCTTTGAGACAGGCGATTTTACCTGTTAGGAAAAAGGTCGTGATTCCTGGGAGTGAGTAGATTGGACTGTGATGCTGCTTAATCATAAAAATACTGTTACAGTGCCAAAAAAAAAGCTGAGAATTTCTCATTCTCAAACTTTTCTTCCTCTTTAGAAGTTCTGGCACACGGTGAAAAGAGACAAAACAATGCCAAGATGGCCAGCAGTCTTGAATTTCCAACTGGCCTCAGCTAAAGTCCATGAGAATTCAGGCCCTGAAGTCATTTTCTTTATGCTCCCAAACTTCTAAAGGACGTACCCCATGAGCATGAATTTATTTTCTAGATGCTCCCTCAGAACTTTCTGGGAGGGGCTCATGTTTGAGCTGCTGTTTACAGCTGTCTTTTACTTTCAAAAGATTAATTGGTCTAAGTTTCTACAAATGAAAGCCATGGGCAGAGATTAGCTTATGAGGGAGATCTTAAGTCCTGTTTTCAACGACATAAAATATTAAATGAAAAAAGTTAAAAATAAACACTTGGCAGAAGCCTCTTCCAGACATCTTAATGGCAACTTTACAGGTGCCTAGGAAGCAAATAAAGATAGTATGTGCCGATGAGCTTGGCTGGCTCCTCTCATACCTCAGCATAATGGTCAAGTCATCTCCTCAGTCACAACAGGGGTTAGCAGACACTAAGGCTTGTGGTCAGCAAAGATTGGGCTAGAAAGGAAGCAAACACAGCTCTCCCCCTCACTGACCACGGTATGTACCTGTCTAATCTTCTGTATCTCATTCCACATCCAGCAGCCGGACAACAGCATTCATCCGAGAGCTACCCATTGTGATTAGAGAAGACAGCCACAATGGAAGGACCACCTGGACTCATTGGTAATATGCTTGTCTTTATCTCCCCCTGTCCACACCCTGTCAAAGAATCTTCTACTGAGGCTCATTGTGCCAAGCCAACGCTATTATTATAGCATTTGGAACAAGCACGGGACATTATTTATGCAGTAGAAATAAAGCCAATACAACAGATGAGACTCATTAGATGTAATCAAAAATCCCTCTGAGCATCACTCCTTCCACTGCCCGTGAGACCTGTTCTGGGGCCTCACTGCTTCCTCCAAAACCCTTGAGTGAAACTGCATGTGGGTGCTAGGACTCCTCTAGCTACACAGGGCACGGGGGTAGGGGGTTTAAAGTTTGTCCATCATTGTTAGTCCTAGATGTATCTGCATACCTTATTAAAATGCTTGATTCTATCACACAGCAGAATCCTTTGAGTTCATTTCAGAGTTGAATCTTGTTCCCTCTGCAGAAGCTATCTTAGCCCTCTCAAGAAGCCTGACAAGGAGATGGACACAGCAGCAGTATTACACACACACACACACACACACACACACACACACACACACACACACACACACACGAGAGCCTATAGTCAGGAACTGGGACTATAGCTCACTGGCAGAGCGCTTGCCAGGCATTCATGAGTCAACCGTCACACACAAACACACAAAAGAAAAAAATCTACAAACAAGAAAGCAAGGAGACCCATCTGGAATGGTTTTTGTTTGTTTGTTTCCCTGTATAATGAGTCCATTCCGGATCCATCTACCTCCTCACTGTGTGCTAAGCCTGGCTTGAGCTGTCCCAATGTCCAAGGGCAGCAGATGGAGAGAAGTAGAGCAGAAAAGCTCTCCTTTGACATTGGGAATCTACTGAGCAGTTCCCGGGCATGGGGTAATATGTGAAACTGACCCTCCAAAGAGCATCCTGCAGTCTCTTCAGTGGGGGCAGTAACAAAGTATCTCCTAACACCCTGAAATCCATCTATATCAGAGTTATTATATATGTATGTGTATATATATTATAGTAGCCATACAATGTATATACACACAATCTTCCAATTGTTCTCTGAGTCAGCATGTCAGATGACCAGCAAGCTGGCTTCCTTACCTGTGCCTCATAAGGAATACAAGTGAATAGTCACCACCCACCCACACCCTTAGTCACCTGGTATAACAACCCAATTCCCCCATGTGGTGGTCCACACCTCATCTCAGAACATGGAAGGCCCTGTCACCTATTACTCAAGATCTCTGATGAAACCAAGTAGAATGATGCCATTGGGTAGTGTGGCATTCAAGAGAAACTGAAATCAGAATGGGTGAAAAGCTTATCACAACATAACTTGTGCATGTGTAACACTCAAAGTTATTATCATCAGAGATACTAATAAACTCTATGCCTAAAATATTTTCTCTTCATAAAAACAATAATATATAAGGAAACCAAGGTTAAAAAAGAAGTAGATCCTAAGAATTCCATCTGTAACATCCAATTATGGTGAAGGTTGCCTTGCTTTCAGCCTGGAACAACTCTAGAACTAAATTAGACAGTACATAGGCATAAGTTTCCACCAGTTCTCATCCCCTCTCCTGTCAGGCGTACCACTGGTGTGTCCCTGTGAGCTCAAGCTCCTCCACCTCCTGAAAACTATTTGCAAAGTGACGGAAAATGAATAGGGACTCTTAATAGAAACTCTCTCACTAAACCTTTCCTTTTCTTTGTTGACCCTTGCTTGTTACATGTTAAGGACCTATGGATGGATATTCACTGTATTCTTTCCACTGGGTCCCTAGCCCTCACCATCTTCTTGGTATCTAGGATGCATCACTTTTCCAGAACTACAATTCTGCTGCAGTCTTCTCCTGTTTCCCACGTGGAAATTATCCACATGTTGGCTAACTATTCTCACACAAGGCCTGGACAGAGTCAAGCCACCCTGTCAGGGAACTGAAGTACTCTCATCTCAATAATTCTTGAAAGACTGTAGCTGTTTAGTTGGTAGTAAGGAGTATGTCTTTAGTAGGTTTGTTGTTGCTTCTGCTGTTATTTTGTTGGTGGTTATTATTTTGAGATAGGGTCTCACTATCTCCCAGGTTAGCCTGGAATTCACAGCAATCCTCCTGCCTCAGGTTCACTAGTGTAAGCCACCATACCAGCTTATAATTGTCTAAATAGCACTCTACATTGTATATCTTATCTTTCCCTTAAACTGTGTGCAACATAAGTTCCATCTTTTACATTGTTTTGTAGAAATCTGTGCATATCTGTACAGCATGAGAAGGTCACTCTTAGATACCACTCTTACTGAGCTACCTGTCTACACTGACTTGTAGAGAAATAAGTGCTTCAGCAGAATCTGTCTCCTCAGAGCTGTCCTTATAAATCTGTGAAGTGACCCTGACTGTCACAGCTTACAACCGCAAACATAAGCAAGAGACAGAGTAGCTGTATTTCCAGGGGATGGATGCGCTTTTCTCGATCTGTGGGTAAGCCTGATTAAGAGCAAAAGGAGGCCCCTGGCCTTTCCCCAGTAAAGAAATGTCCTGCCATAATTCATTTAGCCTCAGGAATGTGGTACCGCCTCTTCAAAGTGGTGTTAGAATGGCCCTGTTGTATTAACAGAAATGTTTGTATGAGCAGACAGATAAAATATATAGCATCAGCCAGGTATTATGGAACATGCCTTAAATCCCAGCAATTGTGAGGCAGAGGCAGGAGGATCTCTATGAGTTCAAGGCTGGCCTTGTCTACATAGCAAGTTACAGGACAACCAGAGCTACGTAGCAAGACCATGTCTCAACCTTCCCCAAATGTATAGCAGCCAACTTAACTTAGGCTTGAAATATTTTACCACTTAATACTTAAATGACTCATGAATATTTGAATAATTACCATTTGCTTCAATTCAGAGTTATCATGGAGTTTTTATTTATTTTTAGATCTTTTTACTTTATTTATTGTGTATGAGTGTTTTGCCTGCATGCATGTATATTCACCACGTGTGTGTCTGCCGTCCATGGAGGTCAAGAGACAGTGTCGGATCCTCTGAAGCTGAAGTTACAGATAGATGTGAGTGACCATGTAGGTGTTGGAAACTGAGCCTGAGTCCCATACAAGGGCAGCTAGTACTTTTATCCCCTGAGCCAACCCTCTGGCTCCATCGGGAAAAAAGGAATCTGGTAAATGAATGGAAGGCTACATAAACTATTACCAAATACTCAGGGAATCTAAACAATTCTTCCTATTTCAGAGGTGGGCACTGAGTCCTCAGTGTGCTGCCCCCACCCTGCCAGCAGACCACATGTGAGGAAGAACCAGTACCTGCACACTGGCCCCAGGATGTCCCCAACTTCGACAGAAGCTCACAGCCCTAGATCTGCAACCTCAAAAGTCAGTAAAGATTGGGTCAAAGCTGGCTCAACACTTAAGCCCATAGAAAGAAATTAGACCACAACTGCAAATCGTCTCCCCTTACCTCGAGCACAGTTTATATAGCAGGAAATACACTGTGGGGTTGTGTTTGAAGGAAGGAAGGCCCCATAGCTATGCTAGATTAAATTGTGCACACTAGAAATGCT